GCCGTCTGGGGGTTTCAGTATGCCCACTGGCTCTCACCGCCGTCCCTCGCCGCTGACAGCTGGCGGGGCGGAGAAGTGTGACAGGTTTTGGGAATGAGCTGGGAGAGCAGTAAGTGGGCGGGGATGATGGGTGGATGTCATATCAGGTGTGTATATCTGTGATACACATACGCTTAAACACGCACACACACACAGACGAGGAGGGTGCCAGTAAAGCTTCACTTGCACTGGAAACACTGGCCTCCATGTTCAGAGCTGCATGAGGAGCGTGACATGACAGGAAGAACAGGATTCATGATTATTATGCAACCCATGACTTTTATCTACATCAATGATGCAGTCGTTAAAAAATAAAATACAGTAAATACCATAATATAATGAGATAAAAATTAAGGTCTGACTGTTGAAGTCTCTGAAACTGTGATGCTTTGATTTGTTTTGTTTTTGTGTGTGTGCCTTTGTATTACATACATTATGGGACCGGAACCTGTTAACACACTCCCATTGTGGGGACCTGGCCATAAAATCTGGTGGCAACATGGTTTAAGGTCAGGGTGAGGTTAAGGTTAGGCGTTAGGCAAGCAGGGGTTATGGTTAAGGTTAGGAATAGTCTACAGAAAATGAATGTAAGCCAATGTAAAGTCCCCACAAGGAATGAAACCACAGCGTATGTGTGTGTACTTAAAGCATAAAGATAAAGGAATCTACTGAGACAAACCTTCACTGTAGATACAGACGTGACAAAGGCAGCAAATGGAACAGAAGTTTAGTTCCCGGTGGGAGACGGAGCCTCAGAATCAGAGCGATCCTGACAGCTCCCCTCTGCTGGTGTAGAGCAGCTTAGCCAGAGAAGCTGTGACTGCACCATGGGGGGAAGCACATTAGCACAGACTGTGCTCTTACTGCTCCGCTGCACTGACGATAGCAAACGTATGAAGTGTCAACCTCAATATGCCACCACCAGCGAGACAAAAAGAAAAGAGACGATGAGTGCCTGTTTCAGAGAGAACAAATTTGCTGATTACCGCATCATGCTAAGGTCGGCAAAATGTCTAGCAGCATTTGGAGTTAGTATAATGTTTGGTGGTGTATGTTCCTCATTCTGCCAATGTACATGCATCAGCAGCAGGAAAGCAGGAGCACCGTCACCAATCAGGGCTCAAGCTTTGGCGAGGGACTCTGCTACGACTCAGCACTGTGCAAACCACAGGAGTCGTACTCCACCGTTAACAGCCTGAACATACACACAAGTAGTGCCGCAATGATTATGTGATTAATCAATTATAGTTGATTGAGAGAAAGGGTATTGACTAATATTCTGATAAATGATCATTTTAGTCATTTTCTAAACAAAATACCAAACATTTTCTGGTTCCGGTTTCCAAGTGATTTAATGTTATTCTTTGTCATAAATGATTACTATGAACTATTACTACAAAACAAACCATTTGAGGATGTTACCTTGGGCTGTGGAAAATTATAAATAGGCATTTTTCACAATGTTCTGACCTTTAAAAGACACAAAAACCATTTAACTCTGAAAATAATAGGCAAATTATTCAACAATGAAAGGAGCAGCTGTAAACACAGGGCGTTTAGTTTGAGTACAGGGTGTGCGATTCTCATTTTCCTCAACTGCTCGGTCCAGCACGTAAAACCATAAGCTAAGGCTCAGGTGGCTGTCAAGCAGCATTATGAGAAAATGTAATGTAAAGTGAAAATTACACCAGGAAGCTAAATTAAAACACTAAATCACAAAGTAACTCCTGGGCGGCACTGAACATCACAAGCCGGTGATGGATAACAGTGTAAGAGGATCTGAGGCAGGGGGATGGATCTTTTGAGTGTGTCTCTGCTGAAGAAAGTCTAACAGGGGGATTAATGAAGCCGCTGCAATGATCTCAAACTCAGGTGTTCGGGCTTATTCTTACCCGGATGCCTTACGGCAGCTTTTGTCTTCAGGATCCTTTTCTAGTCTCTTTAGTATAAAAGGACTGTGCACCTGAAAAAGAACATATCTATTACATCCAAAACTTAAAACTGTCTGAACTCCTCATGATTTAGAGAACATATCAAAATAAAAGCCCAGAGTAAGACCTCTGCGGACTTTACTACTAATGGCTCCCTTTCATAAATGAAAATGATAAATTAAAGAAAATGAAAGCTCCTTGTTTCATCGCCTCTCCCTGTATGAAATTACACATACGACCACAATCATTTCTCACTAGATACTGTAGGTAGCCCATAGCTGCTAAGTGCCACCTTCCTGATATACACTTGAATTAAAAAGTGACTCTTAGATGAACTTTTTTCATAGCTTAAATAAAGAATAACTAAGTGAAAGGATCATCACTGCCTTACTCTATTAAATACTGCAAACACTACACATTTGTATTAATGATTTTGTATTATGGTCTCAGTTGATTATACCATAATAAGGCCCCTGTAGCCCACAACGTGGAGCTCTAAAGTTCAATAAAGGTTTCTGATTGTTCTTTTTTTTTGTAATTAGATCAATCCTCCGGTCGAAATGCAAGAACACTTAACATCACAGCAAACAAGCTACTGTCTGACAAGTGTTTTCCATCTAGGCCTTGCCCTTAGAAGTGGATTCATATACTGCCAACAGATATAATCTCTGGAGAGGAGCTAAAAAATGGGGGCCTTGGTCATCTCAGTTTATTCCTATCATTAACTTGTTCAGACTTGTTCAGGAGAAAACCTTTTGAAAGCCTTGATTTCCCCACTTCCATTACAGACCTAATGTGTGAATCCAGTGTACTCCAGGAACAGAAAGCTAAATAGTCCATCCAATAAGCTCCATGAGACAAAAAACAAGCAGATCTAAGTCTCTTTACAGCGTGGATCAATTGGCTGCCCACTCTTGCGTCCCTAAGCTGCAGCAGGTAGCGCCGATCGCTGGCCCTCTACTCTCAGTCCTGCCCTCAAGGTTACTGCCCATCGCCTTGCTCCTGTCACAGTGAGGAAGCTGTATACTGAGTGTTCGGGCTGGCCCGAAACCAGAACACCACTCGAGACAAACCTCTGTTTTCTGTCTTGACTGCGCAGGAGAAGTGTCAAGAAGCTGGTGTCAGGGCTGATTTGATTTAAAAGCTGCATGATAACTCCCTCCATTAGGAACTGCTAAAGGGAGTAAGATTCTAAAGAAAGGGTCTGAACAATCTTAAGGATTCACTTAGAGGATAATATGGCCAGTAGGAATAAAGGAGGCAATACAGCATGATGGAAGAAGATTAAGAGCAAAGGTACAGAACACAGGTAAAAGTGGGGGCTATAGTAAAATATAGATGTAGCAAAGGAAGGAAAATACCAGAGACAAAGAGGAATGGCACAAAGTGATGATAAGATATAATGAGCTGAGGGAGAAGATAAGACAACTAGGCAGCAAGGAAGTGAAATAATGTAAATGCTTCCTTTCCAGGGGCAGGAAAAAAGAACGTGAAGTAATGTTTTTGAGCCAGACACAAATTTTACCTAATCGTAACCTCAAGCTCCTCACATTCTCACAGCATGTATCCTCACGCCCAACTTTCCCAGTCTCCTGAGAATATATGTTTACATCTATACAGCTCGGCTAACACCTGACCCGCCCACCGCCCGCCTCGTCTTGGCACGGAGCAGCCATCAATGATGGATAATGCGTGAATTAACCATGAGAGAGCGGGGAGAGATATAAGCACGCAGTGAGGCCCCGAGGGGAACAGAGGAGCCTATGCTAAGCAGCCTGCACACACACCAAAGTGTAGCATCACTTAAACAACCAACGTTACATAACACAAGGTCAAGAGAAATGTTAGAAAGCCTGTAACAGTGTGAATGTTGTGCAATAATGTACCTGTACCAAACTTGACTATAATGTCCAAACTCAGGCAAACGCTAGACACTTGATCAAATTTCACACAAATCAATCACTCCCAGTGAACATAAATGTTTAAAGCATTGTGATTTTGACTGTTACCACCCGTGTTTAACCTAGGGTACATCAGAAAGATCAAACTCCTTACAGAGAAGCATCCCGAAGCAGAAATGCCCACCAGCCATGGTTGCAGTTAGCACAGCATCCTGGGGATTTAAGGATATGGGCCTAATTGATTCAATTAAGCTCAATGCTGCAAGCAGACTGACACTGTATAAGCTGGCAAGTCCCTGCTAAGTGTTTGTCAAGTGCCACACTCAGCAGAGCCTCTATCAAATCCATCCATCCACACAAACATAAACACACAGGTGACCTCTGTCCCACATGACTAGTGCTGTCAGTATGTTTTGGCACCTTTAACACATTCAGTAGGTACAATACGTCTGTGAGCCATACATCAGCACAAACCTAGGCTCACATCCAAATCAGCCAGCTTTTGGCTGAGCCTATTTACAATGGCTTTAGAGCAGTGTGTGTGTTCACCTTCATGCATGTGCGCGTTAAGTGTGATGACTACATGAGTGTGTTAACGGTTCCTTAGAGGAGCTCGGGATAGGACAGGCAACACCAGTGCATGGAAGAAAAGAAGATTACAGCCTGGATTCAGACAAGTTTAATGACTGTTCAGGGCTTATGTTGTAGTGCAGGCAGCTCTGGGCACTGAGCAAGCTTAACCTCATTCATGGTGTTTGGCAGGACTGCACCAAAAACACTAGTAGAAGTTTGAACGTCTCCACATGAATGAACAGCAGCAGTGCAGATAGACAGTTCAGACAAGCTTAACCCAGCTGAAAGCACAAAGCTGTCCTATACACTACACTCCTAATATGCTTAAAGAATGCGCGCGCGCACGCACACGCACACACACGTGAAAACCTTCAGCACACTGGCCTAGGGGCAAGCAGGAGCTCATCTGTACCCCGACATCCCTATTATTTATTCACGGGACTAGTCACACCTCTCCTAAGCTTCTCAGTATTCAGGTTACTACAGGTTTGTGTGTGTGTGTGTGTGTGTGTGTGTGTGTGTTGGGGGGCTTAAATGAGGATGGCCGCACACACACCTGGTTTCACAGTCTTCAGGCGGATGGGCTCCCGAAAGTGGCAGATGACAGCCAGGGTGTCTCGGTTGGTGAGTCCGCTCACCGGAGTGCCGTTCACCTCCAGCAGCACGTCCCCGCTGCTGGGAAACCTCCCCGCGTGACAAACCATCGCCTCCGAAACTATGTGTCCGACGTGGGGGAACTCTCCCAGCTCAGCGCCGCCTCGTACCTCAACTATCGTGACCAACTCCCCAGAACCCCCCCACGACACGGTGCACTCCTGCACTTTTGTGGACCAGTGCTTCTTCTTTTTCAGTGTTTTGGACATTGTTGTTAGCGCTTGTAAATCTGAAAGAAAGTCCAAGAACGACTGTCCTTCAGCGCAAGACCCGCTACTGATCCTAAGACGCAATGACGCACGGAAAAATCATTGCAGATTAAAGTTGGGGCTGCGTCCTTGTGTAGTATTCCATTCCAGGGAAACAAGTCTTTTCACATCAAACTCCTTCTGCTGACAATCAGTCCTTCCACTGAATAGAGCATCACCTGTCTGCGACTGGGGACGCGAGACCAGCTGCGTCAGTGTCGCATTGAAGCGGAAAGTGCTGGTTCTGATGCTGGGGCGTCTCGATCCCAAAACCTCGGTGTACCGCGCGCGTTCAAAAAAGCGTCCTCTACGCCTTTAAACTACGAGATAACAACGCAGAGCAGTCCCGTGCGCACCAGAGCGTTTCGGTTCAAAAGCTTGGAGTAATATATACCAAAAAAATCGCCAGCCGAAATGGATAACACTGCCCAGAAACCATTGTAAAAGTTCAAAAACTGATTACTAAACGAAAATAAACCTGCTTTTGAGTATTTATCCGCGCAATGACAGTTCTTCATCCAAGGCTATTGAAGCGCTAACTTTACTCTGCGCACCTGTCCTCTTTTCCTGCCCTCCTCCGCGGTGACATCAGCAAGGCAGCCCTTGGAAACGGAAAAACATACCTGGCCCTCCTCTGAACAGTGCGATTATAAAACCCTTTGAAAACATTGTATTACTGCTCCTTGTTCTTGGTTGCGCGCTCTGCGCTCTCCACTCTTCTGCTTTTCCGGAGGCACCGTGGGGATTTTATCTACTAAAAACTACGCAGCAACATGTAACTGACGCGATCCGATTAGGCTTCGCTCCCTAATTTTTTTTTTATCTTTCCGTGTTGCTTTCCTGATTGCAGGGGCTTCTGTCCAATCAGGGTTTGGGGGCTGGTCCGAAAGCTTTGCCATTAAACCAATGGTAAAGGGCAAGAGGCGGGTCTCCTGTTATTGGGAAGCGCAGGATTTTGTTTCCATGGTGTGTTTAGCAAGGCGGGGTTCCCTGCACTGGGACATATAATTTCACGTGGGAAATGTTTATTACAGGTTCTTGATAGTCGACTTACAATAAGTGTCCAATGTTGGTCGAATGTTTGTGCTGTTTTCTGGGTGTTCCTAATGCATCACCGCG